CTCTCTCTCTCTCTCTCTCTCTCTCTCTCTCTCTCTCTCTCTCTCTCCCTTCCATGTTAGCTTATGTGCTACAAGTCAAAGTTGAGATGGAATTGGATATTCAGCAGTGTGAGAAGACCAAGGCTGTGAGAGAGGAGCAGCTGGAGCGTCTCACTCAGATCTGCCAGGAACAGGCTGTGAGTACCAAAACACCTTTTTTCTGTAACCTTACAGCCAGGATAAATCACTACTCACATCCACTCAAAACAGTCTATGGGTCCTCATTCAAAACACACACACCCATACCGTGACATGGTTCTGCATGAAGACTGAGACAGAAGTTGTGCATTCAGCAATATTTTGAAAAAAATATGGTTGTTTGCGACATGAAGTTAAGAGCTTTTTATGACATTTTTTATGACATATTATATCATGCAAGAATTTAAGGAAAATGTATTGTCATTATGTTATACAACGAAATGCAGTTGTAGCCCATTTGCTACACAATAGAAACATGAAAACATCAGGATGAATGTAAACAGCAGCAACAAAACAATGGTCGATGGTCTCTGAAAAGATGAAGGCACAACATTCACTGACGACCCATTGCTGTGTTAGCCTGAAGTCTTCCTTCATCCATTTTATCTTCCTCCAACCGGACACTAGCCAGGAGAAGACTGGGTAGCGGAAAGCCTTAAGTCATAGCTGGGTTAGCTTAGCTTCCATCTCGGGTCTCCTCCTGGGGCGGTAGACTCGTCTTTCAGTGGCATTTGGTCTGGTTGGTCTGGCTGGGTGGTTGGAAGATGCCGTGGGCAGTGCGTGTATCAAACCCTGCTGCACTTAATCCAATCCCTTCTCTTCCTTCTCTGATGTTGATGACTCTGTCAAGGACTGTACATGCTCCAGTAATAAACACAAAAAAGATAAATCAAAACAGAAATGTAGCAAAGTTCATGAGAGCTACCGGCCACTGCAGTTTCTTTATGACCTATTTTACTATAACATTTTTACGATGTACATATTTTATGAAATATTTATGATTTACTATAATATGACATTTCTAATGACATATCTTACTACCACATTCTTGTGGCACATTATTATGTGATATGTTGCATGGCATATTGATGACATCCTACACCAAGTCATTTTTATGACATTTTATACTGTGAAATTCAAACAACATACATACATGTTTATGATATACTGTATACACAATGGTATTTTTTATGATATATGGTTAGAGAATGGGTGAAGTGGATCATGTTGCTGAAAGTTTTCTATTGGCTATTCCACACCTTTTCCTACTTTGAAATCTGTCCACTATTGGAATGGATCCACAGCCTCCATTTTGCATGATGGTAGAAATGAGTGACTTAGAAGAATGCAACTTTAAACTTAGCCATAGTCTTATACAATTACTGTATGTTATATGTCATGCCAATAGTGAAAGCATTCTAATTCAATTGTAGAAGTCTGTCACTCTCTGCTGTATAGTCAATGGATAGTACATTTATAGTCATATCTCCATCCAGTTAAGAAAGCTGATAGAGTAAATGGTTAAGGCATCGTAAACCCACAATACACTGTCAGTTCATTTACCACCAGAAGAGGGCAGCAATACCTTACAAATAGGTCCAGTCTTCCCACCCATCTACTGTGATTCCTCAGAGCACACACACACTGATGATCCCATATGACAAAATGCAGACTACAATAAATATTGATAAAGACTTAACTTTCAATTGACCATCGAAGTTCAGCTCTGAGACTGGACATATATATAATAAATAGATAAATAAATTAAAAAGGAAATGGTCAGATCCTTTAAAAAATAATGTTTATCAAATTGCTCCTCATATATAAAGGCAATAGTTTTGTATTCACTACTTTAATGTACACTTTAGGTGATACCTTATCCTCTGGGTTCATATATGATTATATGTGATTTATTTGAATGTATACTAAGTTCATTTGGAACAAGAATAATACATACCCTGTGCATGTATGAGTCGTTGCCTCAATGTGTTTTCTTTATTTTGTATTTCCTTCCTTTTGCTAAATTTGCTGCTGAAATGTTTTCTTGTCAGTGGGTTGCATTTAGTCTCTAAGTCAAAACACCTGAAATCAATACACATGGACTTCACAGCTGTAAATCAGTGAAGCTTACAGTTTACCCAACACAACAGTTAGATAATGCACTTGGGTTAATGCTGAAAACAGCTCACGATTAAATCACCTCTAGACAAGCTTTGTTTGTCTATGTGTGCCTGGGATGGTGTCACAGGCCGACAGTATGTTTTACTTTGTCACTCCATTCTCCCTTGTTCTCTCTCTCTTCTGCCTTTTCTTTATTCCCTTACCCATATTTTTTTTCCATCGCTGTCCTCATCACTCATCCTTTTTACATTCCATCTCTACATTCACTAACCTGCTGTGTTCCCTCTCTTTTTCTTTACATACACCAACCATCTCCAGTTTGAGATCAGACAGCTGAGGGCCCATCTGGCCCAGCAGGACCTGGACCTTGCGGCGGAACGTGAAGCAGCCATGCAGATCCATCACGTATGGGGAAAACAGGGCAGGAGTTTTCAGGTCGTAGAAGGCTTGACTCCCGGGGAGTCTGACGATGAGGGCGGCCAGAGAAACCCCAGGGAGCCTCATGTCAGTGCAGGTACAGTATGGTCTCTAAAGCTGAGTTTTTAGGGACTGGAGTGCTAGATAAGCTGCATGTAAAGTGATAAGGGTTTTGTAAACTATATTGTGGAAAAAAGCATGAAAAAGCATATACTATACAGTTGAATTATACAAAATTGAATCTATAATCCCTTCTGATACAAATTCTGCAGTGAGGTTAATGCAGTAGTTTAAAATTAAACACAATATTTCACAAACAGAAAATGAATGTATCCAAGACAAAAGCCCATGGCATTGAAAATATAACTTATTTGAATATACACCATGCCAGGTGCAGTGTTTGCTTGAAAAAGCAGCATGACAAACTAGAAGAGAGTTGCTGCATAAAGTATGTACATAATTATGTGGAACAAAAAGTCTCTAACAGTGTAACATCAGGTGAACTGGATGCCAAAGCAGTGTCGAGTTAATCTGAAGCAGTAGCCCTGGAGCATCTTCCAGGCCAGGCTCTTAGCCCCTCTGTGTTCGCCCACAACACCCATCTGCCCGCAGGCGCTCCGAGATCAATATGAGGGCAAAAAAGCTTTTAGGATCTGGTGAATCCTGGAGAAAACAAGCATGTTCTCTGACACTACGTCAGCTTGCACGGGGCTTCTGTCGTGCCCCAACTATCTGTCTTACCGCCCCCCTTCGTTGCAAGGCCGACATAGCTATCCCAGACCACTATTTCAGGTACAGAGTGCTCTGTGCATTGTGCCTTGTTTGGGAGAGTGGGCTCCTGTCAACATCTGTTCCCCTTCACCTGCAAACCACAATAGGGCACCAGGAGCCTCCACTGCGGCCACAATATTACCCCAAGGGCATAGTGGGAAAATCTGGCTCTCAGAAACCAGTGGGGCTTTTTACAGAAACATGGTCACTGGGATGAACACTTTGGCCACAGGGCTCAAGTCATGTCAGGTCAACTCAAATCAAGCCACGTTTATGTGTATTGCTCAATATTGCGCGCTCTCAATGGGCTTCTCCGACACTCACTCGCATGATACCGTCAAAATATCTAGAACTCTCATCGAGGCAGTGGCCGTCATGAATGTCACAGGAGATTAAGGGTTTTGCCGCCTTAAAGTAGCAAAGCATGTACGTTTTAAGAGCATCCAGTGACAATCAGTGGCAATCAATGAGCTAGGAGTTTTCTCTCAGATACTGAGAGAGGATTGTAGCCAAGCTATCGACTACATCAGTGCTTTGAGCTCAATGGTAACATTCTCATGACAATGCTTAACATGCTGATCTTTAGCAGGTGTAATGTTTACCATGTTCATCATCTTTAATTAGAGTGTTGCCATGCCAACGTTTGCTAATTAGCACCATAAGTGCAGCTGAGGCTGATGGATATGTCATTAATATTGCAAGTCAAACCAAATTCGATGATGTCACTAGATGAAAAGTCAGAGCATCGCCAAAGTTATTGTAATTCATCTTAAGAGGGACATGAACGTCTTTGCCAAATTTGATGGCAATCCATCCAATAGTTATTGAGACATTTCACTCAAAAACTACAAATGTCAGCCTGCTGATGGCTCAAGAGTTAAATTCGGGGGATGACCAAAGTCTTCATCCTTTTGGGGACCATGCATGTCTGCACAGACAGACATTGCCATAGGTCCTTTTTCACAGCAGCCATTTTACACGTCATAACAGGGTAAACACAGCTGTAATTTGAGAAATGAATTATGGTCCCATTCTATTTAGTATGTCACAGACATTCCATTGAGCCAGCATGCACAGCGCGATACCAGGGGCTTGGCCCACCTAAATGGAACAGGGCCATAATTAATGTTATTAATTACACCTGTGTTTACCCTGCAGTGACATGTCAAAATGGCTGCGGTGAAAAGGCCTCTTGTATTGGGAATAGCTCTCTCTGAAGACCCCCACCCCCACTGGCCCCAGTGCTACCACTGCCTGCATTTACTGTCTATATTTACTCCCCTGTTGCCTGTTCACTTTATCTGTATCAACATTGGTTGCAGTGGTTGCTAATCTTCCTCTTACACCACGTCACCCGTGATGTAGAACTGATACCTCGCCCATCAAAATTATAGTTGAGATTTGAACTAAAAGCACCTCAGCATGTCACCTCTCTTTTTACACCGAAAGATGACAGCTTAGTTATCTTGACTGCCACAGAAAGAAGGGCAGAGCCTTTTTATGTATGCTGGACAGCTGATTCTTTTTTCTCAAAACTCATGTGTTATTAATTGTGGAGTGATTGTCTCAGTCTTGTTTTAGTGAGTGCAATGCCTCCTCTCCAGGGGTGGCTCAAGGATTAATATTTTAGACTGTAAAATAAATGAAATTACCCATCAGAGTCTGCAGCATGTCCCAGGGGACAGGGGCTAGCACTCAGGGTACTCTGGGTTCGCACTCAGCCAGCGGACAGTGAGCTCAAGACCAATCAAGCGAACAGAGGAGCATAGCAGATCACAGCCATTCACCACGCACATTGAGGCCTGCTAGACTGGAGGGATCTGTGCCTGAACAAAGAGCTCCCACTCGCTCTCTTTTTTTATTTCCCCCCATTCCTCTCATCTCTGAAACCAACCCCACCCTGTCCCAGTTTATTTCTGGTGCACTAGGGTGCAGCTAATGCAGTGTAGCAGTGCTTGATCCTAACCACTTGACAATGAAGTACCTGTGGCCTGGGGCAGAAGTCATCTCTGTCAATATTATGTTGTAAACATAAGAGATATTTTCCATTTGCACTACTTTGGGTGGTTAACACTGAAACAGACCTGCAGACAAAAAGGTATGAAATCCAAATGTATTTTCTGCCACACAGCGTATTAGCAGTATGAGTGTCACATTATATTGTACTATAATTTGACTGGTCATTTCCTGTAATACACTTGCAATTCGTGGTCTATTCTGTGCTAATGTTAAATATAATAATATTTATTTAAGTCCAAACTGTATTTAATCCATTTCTTGTATTTCTTTATACATGATCCAAAATGTCAACAACTAGACAGTGCTATTAAAACTGTGATGACAATGAAAAAAACAGTAATAACGTATGGAAATGTATGGGGGGAGGACATCTCACATATTTTCCAGTGAATATTTTATGATTGCAGATGCTGCACATTTTTTTCAAATTTGAACAAATTATTTGTGCACAAAGTGTTTAGTTGTATTTAGTAATCAGATTATGGCCAAACAGAAAGGAAATAAGATGATTTTATTTTATACATCATAAATCTTTTGATACAAGCCTCTTCTATGAGCTTGACCAGATGATGAGAAAAGAATCACATTCACAAATGGATGCAGCCAGAGAATTATTAAAGAGTAGAAACAGTAATAGGGATAATACACATACTTGTTACTGTAATTATATGAATGCAGTTTTTGTATTTAAACAATAAAACATGTAACAGGATGATATATGCTTTTTATTTTGGATTACATTTAACAAAAAGCAGCCACTATAGAACCACATTTGGGTGTTGTTATTCACAACCATTAATAATGTAAATTCATTTATATATCTTTTCATTATTAACTCAGATCCAGTTGTGCGTGATGACATGAACAACTACATCAGCCAATACTACAGTGAAGCAAGCAGTGGTAAGTGACTATGAACACCATGACTTTTATATATACTTCTCCATGTACATGTAAATACAATTACAGTAAGTAAAGCAGTGACTCAAAAGTATTTTTGGGTGGTTATAGGGATGTCAAGTAAAAGGTCATCGGACAAAACTTCATAGGTTTGGTTCATAGATTTGGCTGATGCAGGTTATTATCATATATTTTGACACAGAATATGTGGATAGACGGAAATCTTAATTCTGTGCTTATGGTGGCTGTTTTTATATAATGTAATTGAACAATCCATTGATTTGAATGTTTTGGTGATATGACTTACAGAAAGTACAATATTAGGACATGTCTCCAAATTGCGCCTTTTTCTGAGAGCCAGGATCTTTTTTAAATTGTTCCCCAAGCGCTACCCAGTGTCCTGCGGCAGCTTTTCTGCCAGAAAATGGTGCTATTTGGACACAGGGCTTTATGCACTTGTTGTGTTTCAAGTGAAGAGCTTTTTTGTTTTACCCATGTGGTTTTACTTTTTCTAAATGTATGCAATGTCCTTCAAGATGCTGGAGCTTCTGGCTTGGGTGCCCGGGTTATCACCATGGCTGCCATCGATGTTCACCTCCCCAACAATCCAAATCCCATTCAGTCAAACCCGATGCTTGCAATTGAGCGGCTGGGCAGCGTGGTCAGTGACGCCTCAACCAGCATATCACGGTCCAGTGGTAGCCTGACGGCTCGCCCACTCAGCCTGAGTAGCCACACCCCGGCTTCATCTATGACAGACTGCAGCAGCAGCACAGCTCAGGACCTCAGTCTGAGCTACGGCACCCATCGCTGCTGTCCTCCATCCTTCTCGGGCCAGGACCCCTGCAGGGACCCCAGCATGGTGGTGCAGGAGCTGCTCTGCTCCCTCTCTGAGGACTCCTGCCTTGCTCAAAAGGGCCTGGTAGTGGACCCTGTCAACCTTAAACTTCCCAGTCCTACTGGCTCAGAAAAGGCCAGCCCTGAGCTGGACAACAGAATAAACATCTTCAACCGCAGAAACCAAGAGGAGAGACGAGGCAGGGGAAGGGGTTGTGTGCTGTTGCAGACTAAGCCACTGATCCACCTGCAGAGCAGCACCACTGAGCCATCCCTGGAGGAGAAGTACCGGCTCCTGGGACCAGCTGACACACCTCTGGGGCACATGCCTGATACATAAGCTGCATTTACACAGAAACGGAAGTCTTTTCCTTTCTTTTACTGCCACCTTGTTTGGCATATATCTGAAATCTTGTGGCAGGTCAAAGCTCATGAGAAGCACATACGATTTTAAAATTGGATTTTTCTGTCGCTGTGTAATTCCAATCTTAGCCCATCCAGAGGAAGCTTAAGCATTTAGCTTCGAGCTAACACTGATGCTCCTTAACTTCACGTGTTCAGAAGTCAATAGTTGAAATGACAATAAGAACTCTTAGGCCCTTTGCCATAATGTCCAACTTCCCATGTTCCTCCTTGATGGATTTTTGAAATCAGAAATTCCCTGATATAGCACAACAAAGACTATAACATCCCAGTAAGGGCGGGCAGGCTAATGTGCTCTGGTACACATTGTTCATCAGGAATTCTCACTTTGAATAGGTCCTAAATGCACTGAACTTTAAATGAATTAAAACCAGCAAGGGGCCATTCAAGCCTATACTGAACAAAAACTTTAATTCTGAACCGTGTTGCAAACCAAGACACTGTTCTCTGTTCTTGGAATTTCAAGCACTTAAAGAGATTTTTTTTCTATTGTATTTTTCTTGTTATTTTGTTCAAACTTTGTTCAAACAGCTACAGGGTACATACGACTGGTTTAACTATACAAACAGCCAATTATTATTATTTTTTTAACCTATGCCTTTCTATCACCTTTATGTTTGATTTGAAACAATGGACCATCATCAGTAGTTATTGAATAGCATTTTTGTTTAATTGTTCAAAAAACATCAGTAGGGTATATTTGTGTGGTTGAAATGAAAAGGCAAGTGACTGGATTCTTTACATGAAACCAGATTGGAGTGCTTGTAGCATGAAAGACATGTGCCCAAAATGGCAAGCAAATTCTTTGCACTTTAATGTTTACAGACACTTTTGTGAACTTGATATGGAGGAAGTTATTGCCAAATGCAGGTGTTGTCATTTGAATGAAAATAGCAAAAATAAAAATTAGTATTTCCTTAACTGCTCTCAGTTTACTGAAATTTTATAAATGATGTTAAATGATTTGAAGCTGTACAAAATCTACTGCACCTTGATAAATCCCATAAACACAGACTGGCCTCTAATCAAATAATTTCTTCTCACAGGCTCCTTGTTACACTGCACAACATTATTTCATTAGCATCGTCTCCTAACATGCAGAGGATTTGGAGATATCTAAATTATTTAGGGTTATTAACATTGGAAGACCTGTCACAACAACTGCTAATTGGTCAAGTCATTGTAAGTGTGTCGTGAGAAGTATCAACCCCCCTAATTACCCTCTCATATCATTAATTCAGAAGATAAACTGCTGTACCATTTTGTTGCTTGTCAAATGTTTACAAGTATCCAGAGAATGTTTTAATTGTTAATAACTAGTATGGCTACAATTAAGCTATCAACACAAGGGTTTCAAAAGAGCAATATTTGATATTCAGAGCATTAATATAGCAGCAAATAACTATTTTCTATGGAAAGATATAATGGAGTAATGTCTATCTGAGCAGACAATGACGTCGCTCTCCCTCTGTGTGTGATGCGTTCCAAGCTTTTCCTTGCTTTGTTGAGTTTTAGTGCACATTAGGTCACGTGAACGTGCCCCACTGGCTAGGTCACGGCCGCCACTTTTCCTTGCACTCACACAGCGGTTACAACTGACGAGGCCTTCCCAACTGACAGCGTTGTCGCGGACGAGTAGGCACTATACCCTCCGGTTCCCCCTCAGGTAAAAACTGTTAGCTCTGTCAACACGCTTCCCGTAGTTTGTACTGTTAGTGCTGTTAGCACTGTTAGCTGAGCCACAGGCCCAGGCGTCACCATGTTGAGAGCCGTTGAGAGGCAATAGAAATACCCCCAATCTTGTATTTTGCACCTTTAATTTGAAGATCTGGGTATGAGGATTGTTTGTAACAGCCTTATTTAATTCATTTGTAAATGAGTCAGCACATATGGGGAACTAAGGTGACTATGACAAATACTGTTGTGGGGCACAGAAGAATATTATCAGTATTAATTTACGGGGATTTTATGTACAGCTCTTTTTGGAGACACAAAACTGAAGACTCATCGCCCTGAACAACTGATTTGAAGCCTTGACACTGAATTCAAATTACACTGACCATAAGACTGACGCTATAGACGATAGACTTGATTGGAAACAATACATCAAACTAAACTGTTTAATAATGATTAGTGCAGCCCAAAAACTGCACCTTAATCCCAAGATAATTACTGTACAAATGTCCTCTTTTCTGGCATTGATGTTTCTATTTCATTTTCTAGGGAGTTCAGCAGGTGTATTTACATTGTTTTAAGGGTATATGAGAGCAAGGAATGTACTCAACTGAGAGCAAATTAGGTGACAACAAGTTCAATATAAGCAGTGTATGGAGGCCCTGAGACGTTAGAAAAATACTTAAAGCATATGCTTTAGTTTCTGACCTACACTAGACTATTCATTGTCCCAGTGTCCTACTGTACTATTATGATAATTAGGAGAAAATGTTAAAGCAAATGCAAGCAGTTTGTTTAAAACAACAGCTCTGTTAAAAATATTGAATTGCGGGTTAAAGAATTATAGATGTATTACATCTAAACAATGGAATAAATGGAAGTTCTTGTTGAATATTTAAATAAGTTAAATTTGGGTTTAAAGGTCCAGTGTGTCGGACCTGGCGGCATCTAGTGGTGAGGTTGCAGATTGCAACCAACTGAAACTTCTCTGCCAAGTGTGTAGGAGAACTACCACAAAAATGCGAATGGCCCTGTTGAGCCAGTTTTTAGTTTATCTCTTCCAGGCTACTGTAGGAATATGGCGGCCGACTCCATGAAGTGGACCCGCTCCGCATGTAGATATAATCAACTCATTCTAAGAAAATGAATACATGATTATTATTTTAAGGTAAATATACATTCAAGAAAACATACTTAATATTATATTCCATTTAAAGCTTGACTCATCTCTAGAACAACCTGAAAATAGAATTCATTGAAATAAAACTAATTTCTATTCCCCTAAATTAAATGACTTACTTCAGAAATATGTTTGCTGTTTCAAGCATTCCATTTTACTTTCAAATCATCATCAGGAAAATGTGGTCGCATCACAAATAAATACCAGGTTGACACTGGTGCTAAAATCCACCTGATCCTTGAAATCTAATTTATTAAAAAAAAGAAAAAAACGGTTCTCCAACAAAACCTGTTTTCGTTGCCTTCAGCAGCCAACTGTGCTGTTTTTTTTAGTTTTTTTTTTTAAAAGAGCCAACATGAAAGTTGATAACCTGGATGCAAAACCTTTAGCAATAGAGCCATCACATCAATCTAGTTTACAAAAACCACAATGCCCATCGCATGCCATGGAACAAGTAAATAAATAATGATCTTCTTGGCCCTAGACACGCACAAAGGAATCCTGTTGAATATGGGTGTAAAACCCCGGCTCAGCCTCCGTCTGCCACAGCTGCCTTGATATCAATGCCTTAAGTGAAGGTGCTGTGCCTCTAATCTGAAATCCTTCCAGCTCAACCAGCCATGTCAAAGAAACTTGCAGCTCCCCCCTGAGCAACACCGCCCAGTGATGAAACTAAATTATTTGTACGCTAATAACTAGTGATTACTCTTAACAAAACGTGATGCCAAATGCCTTTCCTCTAATACAAAAGGGCCAAATGAAAGGTGTGCCTAAATGATTCATATGAACCCAATTTGTCAATACCTATCATGCCAGGTCAGTCTGAGTTAAGTGTTCAATTTTGACAGGCAGACTCTGAGCAGACCTTTAAGATACATGCTAAGATATAAATTGCTTTTGGGACCTCTCTGATGAATCAAGAGGTACAGTACCTGTCACACTCACAGGATGCTAAGTGAATTAACAGTGACCATTAGACACTTAATAATTAAAATGTTTTAATAATGGCACAGAGGGAGTCACTTTAACTGCATTAACATTACATGATCATTGTTGATTCACATCTACCGACTCTTAGGTACAGTAAGATAATTACCTCCTTCCTTCCTTACAAGATAGAAATGTAAATTCTTCATAATATAACAGTCTTATAACAGTGTCACAGGTGTGAAAAGCTGATCTAATATTTCCCACCAGATTAGAAATGACTTTAACTCACTGAGTGGCTACATTTGTCTGAAGTCAAACCTTAATGTTCAACAAAACAAACAGTTTGGTGGGTCTTATCTTTTTTGTGAGGGCTGCACAGATCAAGAAGACATTGGCACTGACATTTTAAATACCATTATCACTTTTAATATGATTTTTGTGGACAGATTTTGTCACCACAATAACATGTAAAATGTATAAGAAGCAATCACAGAACAGGTGTGCAGAAAGGAAGGTGAAGTTGAATGTTTCGGCCCTTGCGCCCCCCCCCCTCCCTCCACACAGACACTTTACACCCTGCTTCATGACTTATTTTGACATACGATACTATGACTTTTTAAGATCTACTATAACATTTGTGTGACACTTTTGACAGACTATACTATGCCTTTTTAGGACTTACTATAATACGACAAGTTATTCCTTTTTTGAAACGAGGGTCCAAGTACAGAAGATGATGTATGCTCTGAGGCAAATTTGTGATATTGGGCTTTACGAATAAATTGAATCATAAATTCATATTGAATTATGACTTTTTTGACATACTAAGCTATGTTTTTTTCATGACTTTTTTTCTAGATGCTATACTATGACTCTTTTATGACTTTTTTCGGAATACTATACTATGACTTTTTTGATGTACTACATCGAGTTTTTTTTAGATAATATGATGTGACTTTTTAAAAACGTTTTTCGACATACTATACTATACTTTATCTCTGGGTCATAAGCTGGAGAGTCAAGAACCGAGGAGCTGAGTAAGCACACAATTGAGAAATGAGAAAGGCCCAGAGGTGAGTGACCGGAATACAAGCAGTACACATTATATTACTGCACAATAAACCAACAGTTCAATCATCATCATTTTAGCAAAGGTTCTACCACTATGAGCACATTATGTGTAGGTAACCAAACTTGCCAAACTAAGGCCGGCCTCATATTAATTCAGGCTGAAAGGAAGCTAAAATATGTACCATTAACACAATAAAACGTGTCATGAATAAAACGTATACAAAACAAACTTTGAGTTTTTGTCTTATTTCTTTTAGCAAACAATATACAATTTATATTTTATTCAAGGCTTTTTTGACATGCTTTTTTAATAAGATTATTTTTGTCAATTTCTTCGACATACTGAAAAAAAAACTATAGTGTACCTTTTTTCAACATACTGTACTATATCATGTCTTTTTTAAGACTGATACTCACTTTACAAGACTTTTTAATGACTTTCTTCAACTTATTATACTATTTCTTTATTCAACAGATTATACTATGATGTTTTATGACTTTTAGACATACTATCACTTTATTCGTAATACTATACAATTACTTTTTTATGACTTTTTCGACATACTACACTGTCATTTTTTTTCCGACATACTGTACTGTGACTTTTTTTCCGGACTTCTTTTGACATATTATACTACGACTTTTTCGACACATTATACTGACTTTTTAATGACTTTTATCAACATACTGTACTTTGTTGTTTTTATGACTTTTTTCGACATATTATACTACGACTTTTTTCTAAATAAAATATTTTTTTTATGACTTTTCGACATACTCTATGACTTTTTTATCCCTTTTTTGACACACTTCACAATTACTTTTTTATTACTTGTAGTCGCCATGTTTGATTAGCCTACTTGTCAGGTTGCACGTCTTATTTTAATGTGTTAAGCCGGGTCAGATTTTGTATTCATTGAGAGATTATTGCAGTTAATGTGTTGGTGGCAATGCTAAGCTTTGCAGGTTCACGGACAGTTTGCAAAACTGGAAACGTGCAGAATTTAGGAAATTGAATTGTGTTTACTTTGCTGCATATATGCATATTCTGTTTTTCTTTTACTTT